AGAGGGGAATTCTCGGACATTTCTTCAGGACGTTTTTTTAAAATTCTGAGCATAAAACAGCACATGAAATAAGATCTAGGTTAGGAAGCTGCCTCATGACTTTACTCGTCATATTTCACATTGATTACAGCCCAGAAATGAAATAGGCCTCACAATAGTACGAGTTTTGAGGCTGAAGAGAGGATTTAGCAAATAGATCATAATTCCTTCTTAGGGCGAAATCATTGTCCTAAAGCACTGCCATAATTAGGTAGAGCAAGGCCAGTACTGATGAACCTCAGTCACTCCCAAGGCCTCCCTCAACCAAATTTCTTCCTTTGCCTCTGGAGAACGGTATCTGCAAAGGAATCAGAAGGCCGGGTCCCCAAACTGCCTTCAGAGTACGTTGTGGGAGGTGCAGACCAAAGGTAAGTTTACACATCAGTGACTAAAGTTTCCTGCCACTAAGCATAAGAAGTCACTCATGAGCAGCGTCCCTAAACCACAGCTACAGGATGTGGGCACAGGCCCTTGTATAATGGTTGGCCCAGAGCCAATAAGCATTCATCCCTGTGCAAATACTTGGGCTTTTCTGTTGTTGTTAACTTTTGAAAACCACAGGCATTAGGCTCTCTCTTTCTTCCCCTTGGCACAAGTCACCTTCTTTTCTCCAACTTGGTCTCTTATGTGCAAAGAATTTCTGAGGAGCTTTTAAGCCTAAATTTAATACTTTTGCCCTCCCTCTCCTGCCCCACAAAATGCCAGGTACAGGTAAGTCTGCCTTACAAAATACCTGCTGGCTTTGCTGTCTTCCGCAGCTCTGTTTGGGCATTTTGATCAGATAGGAAATCAGAGAGCTCTATGAGTGACCTCAGCCTTTAAGAAAATAAAAATGATTTCTGGAAATTCCCCTTAAACAACTGTGACTTATTGTTTTCTCATTTCAGAACTAATCCAGCAAATGTGATACATTGATTCAAAGGATGTATCCTTCCAATATCACACTAGAAAGAACAGTAGCTGAAAAATAGGAATGGGAAAATTTAGTCTAATCTCAGTATTGCAAGAATTTATCAACTTTTCTTTTTGCAATGTCTTTTTAGTTTCTAGGGCTTCTTTGCCTGTTCTGGAAAAGGAAAACCTTGGATTAGAACGCTTGTATTCTTCCTTAGCCCCAGGGCTCTGTGATCTGGCTTCCTTGGTAATGCTTCAACAAAGAGACAAAGAAAGTGGGCCTCAAGGCAAAAGAGAAAAAAGCAACTAACTCAGAAATTGGCTTCTCTTCTTTGCCTGAAAGGACGGCCAAAAATTGGACCTCCAAAGAGCCGGTTTGACCCCAAGAAGGTCAGGTGTGGTGATTTTTGATGCTTTTCCTCTTATAAATGTTAGAGAATCCATCAGCTTTGCCTCTAAACCCAAATGTCCCACATTATGGCATGCAAACCCAACCTAAGCTTACCTCACTCCAATCCATAATTATTTTTTAGTGACAAAGATGGCAGAAGAACATTACTAGTTGTGAGTCAATGCAAACAAAATTGTCTAACCCTCAAAACTACCCAAGATATATCAGAGGTTTGTGAGGAATCTGTCAGTGGAAATACTCAGGCAGTTTTTGAAAAGAGGCTTATGGGAAAGTTTTCTAGTGAGAGTTCCTGAATGAGAGATAAATTTCAGATAAAGAAGACCACCAACCAAGACACCCTAGTGGTGATATGCTTTGTATGTAGTGCTGTCTGTGTCTAATCCAATTCCCCATTAAATTTCCAGGCCCCCTTTGGGAAACATATCAGATGATAGTCTGAAGAAAAAGCCCAGGTGTGTGTATAATTCCCCCTCGTTTGTGGCTGCCTATTAAGTTTAAGAACAAAGAATATCAGCGAGAACACCAAGTACCAAAGAGGAAATCATAGCCAGTAGATTCATGGCCCCAGTGAACAAGTCCTGGAGGGACTGAGCTGTGTCACCGTGGGGTGTTACCTCATGTTCTGCAGGTTTTCAGTACTTCACACATAATAGAAGAATTTGACCTCATGTTGTTGAGCCCTCAAAACGCTTTTATAAAATGGGCAGAAGTGGGCACATCTCCATTGTAGATACAAGAATACTGAATGCTAGGAAAGTGAGGGTGATTTTTCAAGATGTCGTGTGACTACGTCAGCTCTTTCCAAAGGGAAAAATGTCTAACTGTATAAATATTTAGCAGCGATTACTTGGAGAGTTGTGAGATCACTGGCCTAAAAGCATTATATAATCTCCCCAAATGTTACAATACAGAATGGCTTTCACAGTATCACTTTACTTTTCCTTCCTGAACATGCCAAGTGAATGGGGCTTCCGTATTTCAGGAAGCAAACTTTTTGCTCCGTAAAGAAGCTTGTCTTTTTATTTTATTGTTTTGTTTTGTTAAATCTTACTATTCAAATACTGTACCTGAATATCCTCACCCTCTGGTCACACACTAATTTTGATATCCCACTTATTAATAAATACAATATTTCATCTAATCATCTCTATGACAAGTAAAGACAGTTCTCATGTCATCTTTTATTTCATGCTTCTTCATATGAAAGATCTTTGGCTCCATTAAAAGTTTATAGCATTGGTACAGACCAGATGTCAGGGCTGGAAAATGTCGCATTCCTCTCATCCTGAGTACCTTCCACGGACACTGCTGTACTACGTCCTTTAGAAGAAGGTCATTTGGGAACCATCTGGTGTAGGTTACAAGAGGGACAAATGTGCAGAAAAGTCAATTGTCAGCGTGATCCTTTAATGCTAACTATAAAGAATGTGCTGGACATTTCAGAGGGTTTTGCCAATAAATGCCACTATCTTCAGGCATATGGGGATTTTTGGCCGGCAATATTATAGCGATTTGCCAATATTGCCTGCTTCAGATCCAGAGTGAAAACAACCCCAGGACTTTTCATCCCACTACTGTTGACAGGACAGCTAAGGATTTCAACATTTCCTTTCACAGTCTGAAATAAAGTCCTTTGCCTTGAGGACTATAACTATATAGGCATCAAGGAGAAAGATACCATGAAAAGGAACAAGAGGAGAGGAAAGGAAGAGTACATAAATAAAGGAGGACAAAATAAAATACGTGTTACTCAAAATTTTGGTTTTGAATGTTTACATCAAATTGATGCTTGTGAATGTGTCAGACAGTGAATGTTCAAAATTGTGGAAGTAAGCTTTTCAAAGAGAAAGCTAAAAATATACTGCCCACAACCCCCTCTCCTCAAAAGCTAGACATTTCAATTTGAATATCAACCAAGGTATCTCAATTTCGGGTCTTGGGAAGTTTCTTTTCTAAGTAAATGAAAATTTAGTCAGATTTAAAATAAAAAGTAAAAGAATCCTGGAGCGATGAGAACAGAGGAGGTACTCTCTTGGGTTGCTCAACGTAAGATCTGAGTCAAGGAGACAGAGAAAAGAAATAAAAGGGAAAAGAGCAATGGAGAAAGCCAAGTAGGACAGTGCTTTGAAAACATGGTCCTTAAAACTCTCTGAGATCCATGGATATTCCAAACTGAACTTACAAAGGAAGTGTTCAGTGACATTCGTCTCTACTTCAACCACAATGGTCTTTTCTTTCTTTCTGTTCTATGTAGTTAGGCTTCTGCAGAAGACTTTATTAGAACAGAAGAGTCTACTATTGAAAAATATATTTGAACAATGAACTGCAAAAGGAAATGAGCCACTGAAAATTTTTGATAAAAGCGTTATAAAATCAAATGGAGCTTCAGGAATCTGACAACAATTGCATGGTGGCTGGAAACAGGCTTGAAGTATGGTTTCTAATTAAAAGGCTATGGTAATAAATGGGTAAACATAATTGATACGTGGATCCAATACTATTGCTATGAGAATGGAGAGGGGAAGGAGAATTTGAAATATTTTGAAAAAAAATGAGTTTTAGATTTGATGTCCAGATATTAGGATCTGTCTCAGTCATCTTCTCATCGCTGAGACGTGACACAAGATACCAGTAACTTAAAACAAGAGATGTTTATTTTGACTCACAGTTTCAGTCCATGGTCAGAGAGCTCCAAGGCAGAAAGAGCATAGCAGAAGGATATGGGGGACAAAAAGCTGTTCATGTCCTGGTGGCCAGGAAACAGAGAGAGAAGGGAGGAGCCGGAGAGGAAGATGCAGCTTTAGGGCATGTCCTCTAATTCCTACCTCTCACCAGGCTTCACTTCCTATCAGGGAGCTAGTGATAGTGCTTCCCAATACCCAATCACCCTCTGAAAGCCTCATCTCTGAGTACTTGAGGCTTTGGGGAGGTAGTCCAGAGCCAAACTATAGCAGGGAGCAATGCTAAGCCTCATAGAGATGTAACACTATATGGGATATATCTGACCAGGAATTTTTGACAACTCAGAGCTGATGGATTTCAGGGATGGATGAATGAGACCATAAAAATGTCACAAAGAACTCTAGAATCTTGGAATCCCTGAATCTGAGAGGTTTTTGGAACCCTAACATGTGGATGATTGTCAGATAACAATATAAAACTGAATCTTGGAACAATGTCAGGGATGGAGATATGTATTTGAAAGTCATAAGCATAAAAGTAGAAGCTAAAATAATAGAGACAGTGGGAACCGAATGAGCAAATAAATCAGGATCAGAGGGCAATCAAGACCTAGAAAAGCAAATTATTTAATGAGCAAAAGTAGTCTAGTTTAAATAGTCTGTGTAGAAAAGAAACTTTTCCTTTTATATTTATTTCTATTAAAATTGGAGTATAAGAATGTGTCTAAGGTAATCAAACTATAAAGGCCTTTAAAGACCGGGAGAAACAAGAACTCATAGCGTCTTTCCCGTTTATGATCAGGAACTCTTTTGAAACGTTATTTATGGGCTCAACAGTATTTATTTTCTGTATTTAAGGAAAACAGATTATTCTCCTTTGAGACCTGAAATGTGTATCTATCAGTCCAATCAAGCTTTCAGATCTCCTGAGACCGGAAATATTCAAAGTCTTGTAGTACTATTCAAATGTAATTGACTGTTTCAGTGCAAACAGGTAGTGAGCTGAAACAAACGCTTCGATTATGGGATATCTATGCATGATCCAAGTGTGTACTAAAATTTAAAAAGTCTCAAAAACCGATACTCCCGCGAGCGAGGGAATAGCCAAGCTTGTTGCGGTTTCCAATGAACGACATCAGCCCCGTGTAGGTCTCGATCAAAATGGGTTGAGTTAACACCATCAACCCCTTTTCCCTTCCAGATCCAGCAGAATTCTTGTGGGCATTCTGGATAGCTGGAACAAGCTTAGAGGTGAATCCAGACAACTGAAGAAAAAAGGAAAAGACAGAGTTAGTGAAGGCAAAGTAAACCCTACAACACCCAGCCCTCCAAGTCCTCACAGAGGTTGAACATTCTCCTGGGGCTATGCTTCTTACTTAACCATAAATGGCCACTCAGAGTACTTAACGCTGCTTGTTTGCCTTTCGATCAATTAATCAGTTAATATATTATGTACATAATAAAATTATCTGCTCTGTCTCATTTCTTTTTCATTATTCATAACTTGTATAAGACTAAGAAGTGAAGTCAACTTGATAAATATTTGTTGATGATCTATGATAAATCAGACAGTTGCTGGGGCATGGCTGAAGATTTAAAGATAAGCAAGATACCATCTCTGCCCTCAAAGAAGGTGGCCAAGAGAGAATCTAAGAGACAAAGCTCACTGAAAGACAGCAAAAAGAGGCATAAAATGCTAAAGAAACACAAAAGCAGAAAACATCATGCATGCTTAGAGGATCAGGAATGACTTCAAAGGGAGACTCTTGGGATAAAAGGATTGGTAGGATCTCACAAGGTTAAGGAGGGTCTAATAGATAGCTGTAGCTTTTCTGGCCCAGTATTCTTCCTATCACTTTAAATTCTTCTGATAAAAGTACCTTGATATTCCTTAAGAAATCCACCCACTTCCACTTGGTTCCTTTGCACGGTTCAAGTGACAGTGGCATATTTGTATAGGATTCGGTCCAATCCAAATAGAAGCGTCTATTTCTCTGGTCAAAACATTGGTTCAGGTATGGACAGAAGACCACTGTGGTAGCCAAATTATTAGAATATAAGCTTGAAAGTATCTGTGGTCATTCTGCCACACTCGTGAACCTGACTGAACACACGCCAGGAGGGTGGAGAGAGTAAAGACATGGAGAAAGATAATTTCTTAACAAAGTCATTTATATTACTAAATCCTGGACTTCAATTACTAGATCAGCCTATTCTACTAAGAACAAACACACAACAACAACAACAAAACCTTCCTATTTTTTCGGTTAGGCCCTATTGTTGTAGATTTTTTCATTTGTCATTAAGGAGGAATGTGATTCAGGGAGCATTTCAAAGATGGGTACAAGTAAGGTTACAGATGAGGAAACCTCATATTTTTGTACTTACAATAAACAGTTTTACTTCCAATATTTCATTCTAACCATGACTTTGATATTAGGTTAGAAACTGCATCACTACTTCCATGTTAGAAACACAAAAGATAAGTGAATTACCCACCATGAGTCTACAGCCTGCATCGTGGTAAAAAAAAAAAAGAAAAGAAAGAAAAGAAATAAAGACCCCCACTCAAGACACAAACCTACTTCTTAAACAACTGGCCCATTAATCAATATTAAAACTCCAATCTCACTCTAAGTTCAGTACAAATTGTTCAGCATCCTGTGTAAAAGGATCATTGGTTCTCCCACTTCTCCATGAGGGTGTCAAACTTGCTTTTGAGATCAACCCAAGAGTGTTACCTTTTGATAGTTCAATGAATCCCAGTGGAAGAATCCTGTGCTCTTTCACCATAATTCTAATTTTATTTGTTAGTTTTATTCTGAAATTGTATTTTACATCAAATTGCCCCTGAACAAACTATATTCTTATTTTAGGCTTATTTTCTTTATCCATGCTATCTTTATCAATCATGACTGTCTATTAGCTGAACTAATCTATAGATAATCAGTATGTTAAAAAATAGACCTAATCTATAAGAAAAAGAAAAGAAACATCTATATAGATTAGTGGTGTGGCATTGTGTCCTCATTTCCCTTTTCAGAACCTTCATTTGCCTTTCTTAAAAGAGAAATTGAAATCTGTGGTTAATAAGATAATATTAAGAATAAAAAATTGTGACTTTCACAATAAAGCTGAACAGAGTTTATTAAAATAATTCAATATCTACAGGATTCCAAAGTATTTTTCCCTCTCTATTTTTTACATTAATATCCACCTAATTGGATAATATTAAAGAAATCTTTGAAACAGACTCATTTCACTGAGATTAACTAATGCCTCTAACACACAAGTAAGTTTGGCTTGTTCTCTCTGAGTTTCAGGCCACAGTATCAAAGACAGACAAATTGTACCTCCTGTTACCAGTTCCCAGCCCCAGAATCCTCTATGAGACATGGCAAGGATCCAAAATTTAGTATCACTGATTGAAGTAAACTGTGGACCCATGGTCTGGGGATTCTGGAGAGAAAATACGTGTGGTAAAGAACACTTCTCCTTTGAGTGAAATTCTCCAGGGCTTTGGTTAAGGTGAGCAGAAAGAAATATTCTTCCTTTAGCTACCAAAAGAGGAAAAAAAGAAGGGAAAAATACATTAACAAGATCGTGGCCAGGGATGTAGCTCAGAGCCTGCCTGTCTAGTGCAAGGTCCTGTTTGATTGCTGGCACTAGAAAAAAATAAATATATTTATAATCACTGTGTTTAAAAATCATGGAATCTAGAGGTCAGAAATATTCTCAAAGTCTATCAATTCAACAATTCATTGAGTGTTTTTATTACCCTTTCTATGTTTTCAGCAAGAAGTCAACCTCTCTCCGCACAGACATTTTCAGTGCTACAGAACACCTATGTCCATTCTGTAAGTGTGTGTATAGAGGAGATGGGAATGGCCTGGTAAGTTTTCTTGTCCTACCAGTGACTGGTGGTGAGTCCTTGGAAAAAAACATTCATATCACATAGTCTCAGTTTACTCACCTGAAAATGAGGAAATAATTGTATGGATTTGATTGAAGCATATAAAACTATTTTAAACTACATTGTTTATGGATGTAAATATTATCATTATTTATAAGTTGGAAAGTCTTAGCTTTCCTTAGTCTGTATTTTAAATGTTAATTGTCAAAAAGGCATCATAGAAGGACTCCGGAAAACAAAGCACATTAAATTCCTGGATGCCAAAATGCATTAAATCCTTCTCAGAGTCCACGATTTAAAAACATATGGTTGAGCCTCAAAAAATATCTTACAAGATACTTATGAAAAATAATTTTAAATTTACAGTTATGAAACACAGAATACATCATCTTTATAAAGTGATGAAGGTTAAGATCACTAGTAATAAAGCAGAGACATCGTGAAGGTATAGCACAGTGGGATGGAGCAACACATTATTACTGTAGTACTTGTTCCCAAAAAGCAGACCTTAATCTAATCATTTGAAAACATCAAGTAAACCATAGTTGAGCCATGAAATAAATCCCTTGCACTTATCAAAAGTGAGATGGGTCATAAATGTAAAAGAAAGGCTGAGAAAGTATAACAGATCAGAGAAGCAAAAGAGAAGCAACAAATAAATATATTGTGGGGTCCAGGACTGGATCCTAGAACATATATTAGTCATTACAAGAAAAATGGTAAAATTTGAGTACAGTCTTCACTTTAGATAATAGTATCACACCGATGTTTCATTCCCAGGTATTGATAAACATATCATTATTATGTAAGCTACTAACATTAGAGGGGGCTGGATGATGGGTTAATCCATGGGATTGTCCATTGTGTGGGGAGTGCCCAGTTGAATTGAGACAGCAGGGTTCCAGGAGTGGCAGACCCACTCTAAGGAGGATTGTTGTGGGAATGACAGAAAAGGAGAATGCGAAGGAAGGATTTCAGCCGACTTTCCTTGGAAGAGCTCGAGTGTGGCTGATTTTCCTTGGAAGATCTTGGCCTCTTCTCTGTGGAGCAACTCTGGTCTTCTCCTTCACCTTGGGCATTGTCTCCTACCCTCTGGCACAGATTCATCCACTTCCAGCACTGTCCTCTCAGCTTGCCGATGCCCCCTCTGGCTTCTAGCACTGACTCGTCTACCTCTCAGGCTGCCCTCCAGGTCCTTCCGCCTCCTGATATGGACTCATATGGGACATTGCTGTGGTGTCCAGGGCTCAGGCTGGATCCTTCCCTGAGGGGACAGATCCTTTGCATTCTTCTACATTAACTCTGTGGGCCAATCTTACAAATTTCTGTGTCCTACATTCAGTCTGATTCAGAACATGTGCAGTCATTTGAGAAACCTTCCTTGAAGCTCTTGTAAGCACTAATACAATGGGTGCATGAAAATGCCACTATTTTTGTAATTGTTCTGTGTCCAGACTTACTTCAAAATGAAAAGTGTTTTAAAAACTTGAGTCATAGAAAGTCCAAATTATTAGCTTCTAAGTGAATTTAAGTTTTTGTAAGTGATCAAGGAAATAGATTAAAAGAAAAAGCTTACAGAATATTTTTACCTTGTTTCTCTCACCTCTATCTTTATGAATACAACCTTCCTCCAAAATGAAATGGAAGAAAAGGGCTAAAGGTGTAGGGGAAATGGGAAGGGTAGGGGAAAGGAAATAAGGCAAATGAAAAAATATGAGAAAATGAAAAGATAGAAACAAAGTCTTTGTAAATAAGAAACGGTGGAGTGGGTTAAGGGAGGGCAGGGGTATGGGGAAAAAATGAGAAGCAAGATCTGTCTTGTAAAGGTACAAGATCGGAATGATGAATGTAACTGTACTGTATTTTTTAAAAGTACAATAAACTCAATGAGAAAAAAATAAAACACACTGAAACAAAGATTCATGAATTTTCATTAGGAATGTGCTTTCTATACACTGACAAAATTGATTTCATTGAACTTTCTATCCAAAGTACCTTAATAGTTTTTGTTTTTTATTTCAGTTATTCATGTGAATATTTCCACTGCATATACATCTTTTATGTAACTTTGAAAATAACCTATTGATTTTTGTTTATGTGATAGGTACTTTTCTGAGATTATTTTTAAAATTAGTGCTATTTTCCTGAATGCGGTTTTAGTTGTTAGTTTAATTTTATTAATTTAAGATTAGCTCTAGTAATATAGTTCATAATATTATTTGGTTCTATTAAAACTAACTCCTAAATTTTGCTTCTTAATGTAAGAAATATATAATTTTTTCAGTTTATTATTATGTAAGTTTACAAAATACCACCTTTATTTCAGCTGTTTTAATTTATTGTGTGCATACA